AGTGCACCTATAATGTCTTCCACAATAACTGAAGGAGCCCTCATTATTTATACCGTTCAAAGGGCTGTTGCACCTTGAGGGTGGGTTGCCAATATGTGATCAAGCAGAAGGGAGGGACCTCATAAGAAATTTATGTAGGGATATCATTACTAACAATAAATGAAATGACAACTTGATACTGCAAAAGACTTATGAATTCAATTTATGAATGGCCCTGGGTAAAGCAGCTTTTATACATGTAAATGCCGTGTGCAGATATTTCATACTCAAAATCTGGTAGGAGATATCTGGTGTAAGCTGCATTGGGATGTTGATTACATATACTTGTATCTAACCTGTGAAGGAAGAGGAGAGGACAATATTTTTGCCTCATGAAGGAGGGGATCAGGAGAAAAAATTAACATGGAATACTACTGCACCAACCTCATAACCCTCTAAATTATGATGCCAGAAAAAGGACAACGTAACTTTAAATCACACACAGTAAGATCAATATTAGAATACAGGTACGTTGTGTTTTCAAACTTGCCGCTTTATTTGTCAGATGCCATCGAAAAAAAGTGTAAAACCGCTTCCTTCCAAAAATTTTTCTTACGTCATCATAAACTGAAGCCTTGACAGTAATTTACAATCACTTCAAGACAGAATGATCATAGAGTGCAAAAGGTTTATTACCAGTCTTAAACCAAGTAACCCTGTGTACAAGCTTGTTAATAGTCTCATAGTAGATACTCAATATAATTATGCATCAAGACCTAGAGAAAGAAATTCAAATATCCATTTATCTCAAACAAATACACTTTATGCATTGCACATGACTAGTTTTCCATTATTTTGCCTCTATATACCGGTTGGTTGCTAATACAATCAATTTTTCCTTAGCCATATATTTTTTGTTATTACTTTATTATTCTTGGCCGGCCAGACCTGTAATTCAGTCATTTATACTGCAAGAGGTCTTAATAAACAAATCCACTCATACATAACATGTATATTTTCCTTTCTCATCCTCCTCCATTTCCCAACAAGTTGGCTGCCAGATAAAACAAAGTGTATACACAGTCAACTATCAATCTTTGAAAGAGCAATAATTTGAAAATGGTTGAAATAAAAAATTCTTAGTTACCAGGTTTGATTTTGGTTACATTTTTTTCATAACTGTTTTTACCCATTATTTTCAAGATGTATTTTGTGTCTTGGTAAACAGACTCAAAAAGTTTACTTTGTGAACACTTTACATCTTAACCCTTCACTTCCAAGAGAGACCAACAGAGGATTTCTCCTCATGATATCAATAAATATTTAAGCAAAACTTTACTGAGAAGAAAAGTACTACCAAGGGGATATTGTATGATTCAATGTTAAATTCTCAGAAATAAAATCATACAAAGTGCGTGGCAGATAGTTGGGAGAATTGATATAGTGATATCTTGGCTAAGCAAGGCAATAAAAGTGCTACTGTGCTGCATGAAAATTTTGTGAGTTTAGAATTTGAAAGATTTAGGATTGTTATCGACCCAAAATTTAAGTTCACATTGAACAAAACCCTGCATCACATAACACCAAAAACTTATTACCTTCAGTTTAACAACAACTTCACCCCATGTAAGTCATGAGCCACTTTTTTTCTCATCCACATTCCACTAAAATACCTCTCTGAATGTTGTCAAGGATCCTGTACACCTCTTAAAAAACTCATCATACAAACAAATCTAAAAATGAAAGGTTTTCTTTTTCATTTAAAATGTTCTTTCGCTCATACAAAAAATTCCCAGCATTAATCTTGAGTCATCTAAAAACCATAAATAAATGTTTCTGCAGGTAACAAAAATCACTGATTCAAAGAGTATCACTATGGCAAAATTTGTTCTACTTTGGCATGTATCCAACCCTGTTATCATCATCTATCATAAGTCAGGAGTGATTTGTATTTAAAACTGTACTGATAATTGACTCGGTGACATTCTAATTTTCAAAAGTACTTTTAATCAAGGGTTATTAACTCATTAATAAAAGTTAAGCTTAAGAGCTGGTGAATAAAAAAAACAGTGGAGTTAGGCAACAACAAGGAATGGGTAAGGAGTAATTACCTCCAATGCCACTGAACTAGTGTTTACCAAGAAGAATGGTGGAAAAGAAAAAAGCTTGATAAATACGCAGACCTCTCTCACAGGGCAGCAGACAAAAAATGAAAATACACCCTCAGAGTGGTAAATTGGTTAATGGGATTGTCTCGCAGATGAATAAAATATCTCCAGTTCCACTCAAACCTGACTCTACTTAAGCATCAAAATATTGTCGTTATTTGCTCAGTACCACTACTCAACCATGTAAGACTAGCTAAAGAAACAGCTAGAAAGCAATGTAACTAATTAGGGTTTGCTGGAAAACATTATGAGCAAAATTTTCTAAGGAGAAAATAAATGAAAGTTATGACTAGGGGACCTTCAAAACTACAATAATTGATGCAAGGCTACTCCAGGTGACTAACCTGGATGGTAAATTATCCAAAATTTTTATTAACCAAGAACTAACTTTATAGCAGAGCATGGTAAACATCTCGCACTCAGATTTCTAAATCATAAAATGAAGCACTCATATGTTTGAATCAAAGAAACTCTGGTTCAGAATTGAAATAAAAAGTTCTGTCTCAGTTAATAACTTTTTATCAAGGGTCTCCACATCTCAGCCAGTATTGGATTTTCACAAAAGACTCACTCAGGGTGATATAAGTCACATGAACCCTGCATTGTTAACACCACAATAAACAATGTCACATGCATCCTGTCTGCCAGACACAGTATTAAATAGGAATTTACTTTGAATTTATTTTGAAAAATCATATATTTGTCATAAGCACACATCAGAGAAAAAATTTCAAACACTTAGGAGGATTTTAATCGAAGCATTGTCCTGTTGCAGGCTCTAATGCCAGGCGTTTCAGAACCTGTTAATCAGGAAAACCACATAATGAGGGTATTTACCATGACAGACCTCACTGGCCAGACTGAATCACTAATAAAGAAAACACTTCTGTTTGGCCCCCTCAATCGATATTACAGAAATGTAACCACTTTCAGATGAAATTTTCAAACAAAATCAAAGAAAACTCTGATAAAAATGGATCAATCAATTTTCTGGCCAACAAATTACAACAGATCATAGGAGCCTTTTGTTATGTAATAAGCATTCTGCTCACTAGGAGACAATCAGGTCAAAACACCTATGTGGAGATTAATGAAGAGGGATGGGAAATTTTTCTGTTTATACCAAAATACAGAAGTTACAAGTAGAAAAATGTTTGAAATGTGGGTTTTTTTCAGTAAAAAGTGTTCATCGTCTGACACTAATTTTTTTCAATACATTTGTATGCAGGAATAAAACTTATGCTTACATGCCTCATTTCAGCTTTGGTGAAATTATCAAGGGAAAGTAAATTCCTGAACTCTGATCATGGCTTGCTAAAAGAACTACAGAGAATCACTATACAACATATTTATGTAGCCGTGAGTAAAAAGTACATTTTAAAGCTTGGAAAACTATCAGAGATTGGTAAGAAACCCTCTAGGAATAATCCAACCCAAAAGCATCTTTACTCATCCAGTCAAGGCAAGATTACATCATCACAAACTAATTTGAACAGGTTGATTACATTTTGTGGAACAATATGACCAAAATATACAATAGAAAGATATCACGCGAAGTATTGAGGAACTGATGAAATTTTAATAAATGCGTGATTTGTGAACAAGACAAGCGGTAGTTATTCGAAGTGCGACACATGTAATAGCGAAGGTCACGTATGCGATGTGTTAAGTAATCATAAGCAATGCTAGACATTAAAACTATGCATGTGTACTTCATAACTACATCGATTATCTATAAACCAAATTTGGGTGCCTTGTTACCAAATGTAAAATTTCAAATCGCTGCAAGACAATGAGTTGCGCTACCGAGAGCGTAGCTTTGGCCAATCGATTCGTTTGCGCTACATGTAGCGATTTTACGTACTAGTCTCGGCTGGGAGTTTCCAAATACCGACACATTGGCGAACTCGACCAGACAGAAAAAGCATATTTAAAAGAATGTGAGCGCGATCAATCGAAAAGCGTAAAGATATAACAATACTTCACTTACCTTTACAGCATTTTCTTGAACGGACGTCCGCGTTCAGCTTCCCTTGAATACTCTAAAGTCCTCTTTGAAGAAACTTGAGAAGAAATAACTCATCATCATTCGGCATTATGAGCTTGGAATCGAGGCTGGGACGCAGTTCGATGGTTTCTTCGCGGGGGAGGGGTGAGGAATAAGCTGCATGAGCGGGCAAATATAATTTTCCAAAACAGGAATTAGGTGTAATTTTTTGTTACTACAATAAAGAAAACTGTTCGTAGGAGCACCTTCTTCAATGACCAAATGACGAATTGATTAAAACCTATTTATGCAATGACGTACAGAGAAAAGCTGGTGGCACACAGAGGTCAAGTCTGGTCACGTTCAAAACACGATGAACGTTTAATTATTTCGGTCATGCTCACGTTTCAAATGTGAACACTGGCCACATGGGCCGCATTTAAGGTAAAGCGGAAAACTCGATGCACGACCGTGTCATTTCATCCGTGCTATTGGTATGAAGGTGTTTTGTATTTTTAAAGAGAAAATAATAAATAAACTGAAAATAAAAAATGAACAGTTTCAGCCTGCAAGAGGACTTTAGGTAACACCCACGCGAGGGAGGAGACACGCGGGAACTTTCGAGCTGGTGTCTTCTTCTCGGTCACTTGCGCTATCTGCGTGAAATTTAATGATTTGGACCCGAATTAAGCAAAGATATGAAAATCAAATATTTAAGCCTGAAAAATGAAAACCAGATTGACGCATAATTTTGTATCATCAATTAACAGCAGGAGCAAATGGAACACTAAAAGAGATTATTGCGAATAGCGCAAATATTTTGAAAGCTTCTTAATCCCCAACTTCTCACAGAATAATTTTGTTTATTCTGCGTTATTGTAAACTTCCTCGTGGCCATTTTCTAACAGCACTACCACAATAAAGCTATAATATCAAAGCTATTTCAGAGTTCCCAAAAAGTCGTTGGGTCTCTTCGTTCATGTTTCATATTTCTTAGGCGACACGATAGTATATGCAAACAGGAGAAAACTTCTGACACAAGGAACAACAAAGTTTTTTTTTTTCATTATTATTTTCATCAACCTTTTTCGAAGAGACTTCGAATTTTCATCATAGTTTGCTGACCTACGAAAAGCAATGACGCAAAAAAAAAAAAAAACAACGACGGCACGTTGATATGTTGCTTTGGTGACCTTTCCAAAGCTGATTCAAATAGAGTAATAAAGAAGCTGAAGTGGTGGTGATTTTCCTGAGATAATATAGAATCCGATTTGAGTAATATTGAACGAAAGTGATGCATTAAAATCATTCATTCCACTGAAACAGCTGGCTTGTCTCCTTATACCTATCTTTCCCCTCATGAGTAATGTCCCACTGTCTCCCCTCTCTCTCAATTCCACGCATGTATGCAGCCTGAAAGATTAGTGACAAAACAGGTCTCACCATGGAGAAACTTCTAGCTTACGTTATTTTATTTCTGCAACCGACCGTGACAGATTGCCCTCTACAGTTTGAACGTCTGAGTGTTGCATTTCTTCATGTTCTTCACGCTGCGAACAACTGGCTAGATCTATCCCGATGTGGTTATGAGTTTTTCGAGGGATGCATCCAGTAGCACGCCGGGTGAGGGGATTTTTCGTTTCTTCCAAGGCAGTCATGATGGAATTAATCACACCAGATACCACACACAGACCGAACATGCAATACAATGACGCCAATACATTGTGGATAACCGAGTAAATGGTATCCTCTGAGTGAGCTACTCTAAATTTGCTTCCTTCCTGCCTTGAGGAGTTTTTTGAAAATAATCTCTCGAGACTTTTGATTCCGGATTTAGTATGTAAAACATAGTCTCCAAAACCGATTGTAGAAAATGTTATAAAAGAATAATATACTCCTTCGTCAAAAGTCCAACCTAAAAGATACGGTACCAAAGATCCATATGCCGTCATCAGCAATATCATCGACGATACCAAAACAACAGCAGTCTTAGTTTGAATATGTTTCGGCTCCAGTGTATTCAAGAATTTCTTTTCGAAACGTCTGACTACGGCATTAACACGGCTGGTAATCAGCTCCCCAATGGATTTTAACAAGAGCAGGGTGATAGGAATCCCATATAAACAAACAATGATGCACAAAATTCTGCCTGAACATGTTTGAGGAGTGATGTACCCGTAACCTGTAAAGGAAATATTGAAAAATCTAATATTACATAGGTGATTATTTTACGGACAACATCATTGCAGGAAGGTGACTGCTTCGGAAAGACTGTTGTTCAGAGGACGCTCCATATAAAATTAAGGAAAGGTTTCTACAGTGGAGTAATTTTAAAGGGAGTGTAGATGGACAGTAATCCAGGATCATGTTAGGTTCTCTTTACTTCCCACCACGATTGTTCCAGAAAACTTGCTCCATCTCTCCACCAATCAGATGGGAAACTAAAGCCAATCATGACTTGCTCCTCCTGGTTTTTCCCACCCTCCAGGGAGTTTGCTGACCCCTGGAGACATGATCTTGTTTTAGTCTGATAGACCTTTGTTATAGTTTTGCTTTTGGTTTTACGAAATTCAATCGAAAATTGCTATCGGCGGTGTCTGTCATAATAACACTTATGAGGAGTTGTTTACTTTGGGTTTGCGACTGTTTCTTGACAGGACTTTTAGTGTCAAATAACTGTATTCGAGAGAGGTCACTGCTATAAATAATCTAGAAAAACACCTAGAAAGAATCGTTAAACTGGGAAAATTTCTTCAACTTCTCTTGATAGACGCCCTTTCTTACCTATGGTGGACCAAGCTTGAAAGACGAAATCAAGGGCAGACGAAAAGGTCCACTTAGGTTTCGGATCACTTAGGGCCTCGTGTGCGATATGAGAGAAGTTAATGAACTCTTCGGTGGTTATATTGTATTTAGATATCATGAATTCTTGCAGGGAGTGCAACACTTGATACTTTGTTTCTTCCTCGTCTTCCTCCGTGTACTCCACTTGCAGAAAGAGCCAAGCACTGGGAAGGAGAAATAACAAGTAAAGCAGTGTTCGCAACAGTACTTTTTTGAACAGTGGGTCCATGTCTGGAAACAGCCACTTGTCTGTTCGAGCTCTCTGTAATGTTAGCTGAGAAAACATCACAAAAATAATTGCCTAAACATACGGAGAATGAAAATGGTGCTGAAATCAGTTTGTATTAGAATGGAACACGTACAAGTTAAAAGTGTGACTTCAAAGTTAAATACAATAAAGAAAAAATTAATAATTGCCTGAGTCTCTCCCTAGCGGTTGAGGATTTTTTATTCCATGAGATGGAAATACATACCCGTCTTATTGTCATCATCACCTTCTTTTATTTAAAGTATTGTTATCAAACAACAGGAGTAAGGACATCTGAACCCTTTACGTGGGAAAGCTAACTCTGTTATTGTTCAGCTTTGGCAGAAGATGCAAAATCATCTAAAAAAGTACTAAATAGGCCCTATTAGGGGTTATCAGGATACAAGATATTTGGGTAAAAAATTACGGGGATACGGGATATTCGGGCGGAAAATTAAAGGGATAAGGGGTATTTAAAAAAAGATTCTGGGATATCGAAGATCGAAGTTCTCATTTTTTTTAAATAATGAAATAAGTTTATTAATCAATATAGAAGGTGCAAATATTTAAAAATTGCTTTCAAATGTGATTTTTTACATTTTGCCATCAAATATTGTCAATATTGTCAATAGGTGCCAATATCGGCTCTTGTTCAAGAACAACTCTTCAACTCTTCCCCTCCCCCACGGCTTTTTCCATTTTGCACCACTTTCTCGGTGACTCATTGCTTTGAATTCACCTCAGTCCTTTAGCAATTCTTTACAAAATGTTACTTAAGAGCATACCATCGATAAACGTGATGTCTTATTTGCACGTAATTTCTTTTTTAAATACAAAACGCTCCAGGAAAATATGTTTTCGTTATCAGGTACCAAAACATTTTACGCTCAATGACGTCATCATGGTAACTGGCGTTATCGGGATACGAATCACAAGAATGAACGGGATACGGGATATTTTGGCCAAAAATTAATGGGATACGGGATACTCAGACCCCCCTAATGAGACCTCACAAAATCTATTTGACAACCTATGCGTGGCAAGTCACTTCAACTTAAGGTTTTGTAATTTTTTCCTTCCTCTCCTTTTATCCTTACTTTGAATTTAATCAAAATCGTTGAAGTCTTGGTCTTACTCACCATAAAAATAAAAATTTCTAAAAATATGTACAGTTATTATGCTCATAGTCGAGTTAAAAATGTGTATCTAGTTTTTCTTCAGCACGAAAGCTGAAATGATCTGATTCAAAGGAGTTGGTCTCGGCGCAACGATCGCGGTGATAAAAAAGTTGGTAAAAATAGTTCAGTGGTACATTTTGCTGTTTGAATACTGGTTAAATTTTACATTCTTCAATTTATTTAGCGATGAAAAGAAACAGAAATACTAATTATTAAAGTCAAGGATTGTTAAGTGAGTTCAAAGGAATATGATTCGGACCAGAAAATACGAAATTAATTGAGTTTTCCAAAGTTTTGGTCTCAATCAAATATTTTTGTAAGAGATCGTTGATTCATTACATTCATTCTTATAAACACTGAATTTACCAACGAACTTACCAATTTCGAAGTATTGGGAAAAGACATACGAGAACTTCATTCACTAAATTATCTGTGGCCGTCCTATTTCATGGATAACAATCAAAACCCAGCGGTGGGGACAGCTGTTTGAGATATTGAATTTACTCCACTCAATAGAACTTCCTGAACACAAAAATGAAATATGTTTGGTATTGATATAAGATTGACAATTTGTCCGTCAGTGGTACAATTTTTAATTATAACTCAACGTGCATCCTTCTATATTTAAGAGTAATAATCAGGAATAGTATTACCGATGATAAACACTCTCTCCAGTTGTTTTTGTTTTCCAGTTCGTTGGACATGGATTACTAAATAAAACTGCATATCAGTTCAAGTTCTTTAAATTTCTGTTAACTAATTCCGTTACCTGTTACATAAATTTTGTAGACGTTCTTTCTTATTGATATTTATTTTCTCTCGAAATATCGAGCCAATTTTGTTGTTCCTAACCATTCTTTTATACCATGACCCGGTTATTTAGGAAAATTCAGTATGATAGAATGATAAACATCAGATTTTCTTTCTCATACCTTAATTGTTTTCTACAGCCATTTGATACGAGTAATATAAATGGGTGTACGAGATTTTTGGCTAAAAGAGGTGTTTCGTACGGATTAAAAGTTAACTTACACAATCTGTGGGAGTCTCAAGTCGAATACTTACACATTAAAGGTGAAGTATTCTATCAAGTTTTGGAGGCTTAAATCTATACTCAGGTATTTTAAAGGAATCTTTGCTAACTTAAATGCTACTCGTGAATAGCTCTAATGAGCACCCTTTCTGTAGTAGAGCTGACTAGGCCCAAGCACTGAGTTCGGCTTCTCGTTTGCCAGTTTCCAAGGATTCAAAAGTTGGTCCATCTCACACAAGACCCATTCATGTTCAAATATATCATGCTTTTACACTCCTTAATAGATTCCAAGACTTCTAAGGTGACTAAAGAACGTGCTCAAGTGTTTTGCTGTTCTATTTGGTTAAAGCTTGTTAAGACGGATAAAGATCTTTTTCCAAATCTTGCTACCATGGAACTCAAGACCTTGATGTAGGACACTGAAAATTTTGCTCACTACTTTCGTGGGAGTCTCGCGTTTTGTTTGTAAAACATCCAAGACATCGAGGGCGACATTTGCTTTCCTCGACGGCAGCCATAATGGAATTTATTACACTGCAGACAATGCTTAGACTTAAAATGTATACAGATATAAACAAAACGCTGGAAGGTATGTGGAAAGCTTGAAAAGACTCAGCATTCTCATTTCCTTGATATGTAGAGTTAGGCAACGTTAGCTTCTTGATCCCATAGCTGGGTTGGAACAATACATAGTCGCCAAAACCGATTGTGGAGAATGTTACGAACCAAAAATATGCTCCTTCGACGAAAGTCCAACTCAAACCTCCTCGTTCTCGACGCCATCTTGATGCCGCGCAACAGATTATCATAATTGTTATCATAGATAATCCCAAAGTAACGGCGGTCTTAATTTTAACATGTTTCGGCTCTGGTCTTCCGAGGAATTTCCTTTCAAATTTGGTGAGAATTTTGCTGATCAATTTGGCGATCAACTCGCCGACGGAATTCAACGTGAGCAAGGTTATTGGAATTCCAAGTAGAGACACGAAGATACACAACATCTGACCTTCAGGCGTTTGAGGGGTAATGTATCCATAACCTGTCGAGAACATGGATTATGGATTAATTGCTAGCGTATAGATCTTCGTAACTGGGTGATTGTTCGACTAACGCGTGACATAAGAATTAAGGGCAACGACAAAAATACAGGGAAAGATTATCAGAAGAAGGTCGGTGCTCAAGGGAACTAAAAGGCTCATCGAACCACTTTTGTGGGAGCATTCAAAGATTCCTTCATTAGAAATGCATAAAGTGATTTCCTCAATTAGAAAGCTTTAAGTAAGGGAAGGGTTGATGAGAAATATGAAAGATTCCACAAGATCTTGTCGAGCTCTATGGTATAACACTATTCCCTTTGGTAGACAGACTTTCCAGTTCTATTGGGAAGCATTTGGGTAAGCTCCTTTAGGGCATGTCTGCTTTACGAAGAAGAAGAACTTTGTGGCCATAAAATGTTCCAAGAAGTATAAAGGAAATGTACGTCCGCTGACATTGTCATACATTACCTAGTCAATAAAAATATATCATAAGACTGACATAGTCGGCAGAAAAAAAGGATATATATCTGCCTTATATTTACCTATGGTGGTTACAGTCTGCACGACGAAATCAATGGCATGAAGATAGGTCCACTTTGGCTTTGGCATTCTTAAAGCTTCGTACGCAACGCCGCAAAACTTGTTGAATTCTTCAAGAGACATGTTGCATTTAGACCCCATGGACATGAACAAAGAGGACAACAACTGATATTTTTCCTGTTTGTCGTCCTTTTCTGTGTACTCCACATGAATGAATAGCAAAGAACTTAAAGAGACTAGCAAGAAGAAGCCAAAAGTTCGAAGAAGTGCTGTCTTCAAAAGTGAGTTCATGTTCAAGATTACGGTGATCGTTGTAAGCTGGATTACTGTTTTATTGTGTTAATCTCAGGACACACGTATCAGCTGCTTAAGCTTGATAGTAGTCAAATCCTGAAAAAAAAACGTATCCTCAAAGTACGTGGGAACTACATTTCAATTTAGGTTTACTAAAAAATTTACTAAAATCGATGTTTTATCATGTCGTAACAACGGAACATGTACAGTGAACTGACAGTGTGTGGATATATCCGATAAACGTTTAGTTACACTCAATGTTACATTTTTTTTTTCCAATCAGTATAATTTTTTAACCTTTACCCTAATACTTTTTCACATATTTTGTAGCTGAGCTTCCTGTATTATAATCGGCTCATTCGCTCCAGATAATTTTTACTATTATCAATATCTTATCACAGAACCAGCCTTTTTTTGTTTGTGTACATACAAACTGAAAATCACAATTTGATAAAACTATATCTTTCACTTGTTAACGATAAGACCAAGGTTTTCTTCTTTTTCACCCATATTAAATAAAAGTTTTGCTACTTTGAAAAAATAAGCAGAAAGGAAAAAGGTTTGTCTCCACGAGGACATCACCCTATACACCAACTCAATTCATCTTAACGTTTACCTTCTCATATTTATCATCACTCACTTTAAAAAAATTTAAAGGCCTCAGAAATTTAATTTCCGACTAGTTTTAGGTATATTGAAAGACTAAAACAAACCACCTCCACTCTTTGGAGAGTAAGTGTTAATTATTGCTCGATTCTTTTTCACGAAACCTGTTTGACTAATGGCCGTGATCTTTCGAGTTACTCTCTAGCTTAAGGATAAATTGGTCAACTAAACTAAAACTGTAAGAAATTTCTTCACGGTACACATCGTCTCACTCATTTAAGATGCAAGTGTTAAGTTCCAACAGGAGAAGTGACACTATTATTTAATTTTGTCTATCAGTAATCATCTATGCAGAAACAAACCCTTCCATCGCCAAATTTACTTTAGATATTCCAATGTTTTTGGTCTCAGTCAAAATGCTTTTTCAAGAGATCGTTAATTCGTTACATTAATTCATATAAACACTGAATTTACCAACGGACTTACCAATTTGGAAGTATTGAGAAAGGATATACGAAAACTTCGTTCACTAAATTATCTATGGCCGTCCTCATCCATGGATAACAATCAAAACTCAGCAGTAAGGGCAGCTGTTTGTGATATTGAATTTAATCTATTATTGTCCGTCAGCGGTACAATTTTTAATTATAACTCAACGTACAATTGTTTTTTAGTTTTGGTTTTGTGTTTTGGTAACCTCGGAAAAATAATATTTAATGACCTGTAAAGTAAAGGAGACAAATGAACCTCTCGTTGGACATGGATTACTAAGCAAAGCTATATATCAGTTCAAGTTCACTAAATTTTGGTCAGCAAATTCCGTCACCGTTTACATAAATATTATAGGCGTCCTTTCATATTGATATTTATTTTTCAATTTTCACACGAAACGTCGCGCCAATTTTGTTGTTACTAACCAAACGGGTATAAGAGAGGCGAGGTTTAATACGTGTGAAAAGTCAAGTCAGACAATCCGTGCCAGTCATCGGTCTTATAAATACACGGCTATTACAAGCCTGACAGGTGCATGCTTTTATTAAGTCTTAAACGCACAAACTCACAATCACATACCCATACTAAGAGTGGGTATCAGTCGGTTTCGCTTCTTGTCGAGTACGCTACGTTCGAGTTCGCCACATGTTCGCCACTTACATACCGAATTCGCTACTTACTTCATCCTACCATTCTATCAAAAAAAACTTTTATGGCAGACCTAGAAAAACGGGATCAACATCAGTATCTGAGCAACTCCCCAACTACCCCTCCCCTAGCCCAACATTAACCCTAACTTGTTATCAATTGACTGTTGTTGGGTTAGGGTAGGGGTAGATGGAGAGTTGCCTAGATACTGATATTGATCCGAAAAACGAATATTTATGGCTAACCCCCCTAACCTTTGGTCTGGAAGATATATATTGATGACATCTTCTCACTGTTGGACATTTCTATGAAAGAAGCTTCCAATTTTGTTGACTTCGTCAATTCTTTCTACCCAACAGTCAGGTTTACTTGTGAAACGCAACCTCGGAACAATCACAAAAATCAACGATGCGGTTAAAAGCAAACTAGAAGGGAATTTGCATATGACCAGTTTAACTGACTCCTAAAAACGGCAGCCACGCAGTTGGGAGTATAAAGTACAGATATTGCTTGTGGTTTATGATTAAAAGAGAAATTAAAATTGAGAATTAACAGACGCAGCGAATTCGGCATGTTAGTAGCAAACATGTAGCGAACTCGACGAGTAGTGAAACCGGCGCGTTAAGTTAAGAGTACTGCTAACACAAATGCTATATTGCTGTACAGCTGTGAGCATCTTTTCCGGGCCTTGCTCGCCTCGCTCTCTAAGTTCGGCTCCTCGATTGCCAGTTTTCAGGGGTTTAAAAGTTGGTGCATCCTGCACTAGACTCATTCATGCTCAAATATATCATGCCTTTTTACTACTCCAAGAGATCCCAAGATTTCGCCTTATTAGGCTCTAAGAGCGCTAGAGAGATTCAGGAACGTTGATCTCCGAACATAAGGAAACATGCGGTGCTCAAGTGTTTCGCTGTTATGGATTGATTAAGGCTCGAGAGGAAGGACGAAAATCCTTATCCAAATCTTACTACTATGGAACTCAAGACATTGCTGCGTGGTTCTGGCCATGTTGCTCAGTGTTTTCATGGAAGTCTCGCGTTTTGTTCGTAAAACATCCAACACATCGAGGGTGACATTTGCTCTCCTCGATGGCAGCCATGATGGAATTTATTACACTGCAAACAATGCTTAGACTGAGCATGTATATAGTTACGAAAAGAAGGCTGGAAGGTATTTGGAAAGCTTGAAAAGATTCGGCATTCTCGTTTCCTTGGTATGTAGAGTTAAGCAACGTTAGTTTCTTAATCCTATAGCTGGGTGGATAAAATACATAGTCGCCAAAACCAATTGTGGAGGATGTTATGAACCAAAAATATAATGCTTCGACGAAAGTCCAATCCGATTCTCTTCCTTCTTGTCTCATTACTGACACTGTGCCACACACCATCATGATTGTTATCATAGATAATCCCAAAATAGCGGCGGTCTTAATTTTAACATGTTTCGGCTCTGGTCTCCCGAGGAATTTCCTTTCAAATTTGGTGAGAATTTTGCTGATCAGTTTGGCGATCAACTCGCCGACGGAATTCAACGTGAGCAATGTTATTGGAATTCCAAGTAGAGACACGAAGATACACAATATCTGACCTTCAGGAGTTTGAGGGGTAATGTATCCATAACCTGTCGAGAAAATGGATTATGGATTAATTCCTAGCGTATAGATCTTCGTAACTAGGTGATTGTTCCTCCTATGCGCGTGCCTTCAGAATTCAGGGCAACAACAAAAATGCAGGGAAAGATTGTCAGAGGAAGGTAGGTGCTCTAGGAAAGTAAGAGAATCGTCCAACCTTTCTTATCAGAGAATTCAAACATTTCTACTATACAAATGCATAGTTTGGTCTGCGTAGTTAGGTAGTCTTAAGTAAGAGAAGGGTTAATGAGCAACATGGAAGATTCCACAAGGCTTTGTTCGGCTCTATAAAATAATCCTATTTCCTTGAGATGTCTTTCCGAATCTGTTGAGTAGTGTTTTCCGGGGTTACATTATTGCAAGCTCCTTTAGGGCATATCTGTCTTGGGAGGAAGAAAAAAGTTTGTTCCCATATGATGTTTCAAGAAGTGTAAAGGAGACGTACCTCACATTGTCAAACATGACCTAGTCGATAAAAATCAGATATAACACAAGAATGAACATAGTCGGGAGAAAAAACAGATGCATATCTGCCTCATATTTACCTATAGTGGTTACGGTCTGCACAATGAAATCAAAGGCATGAATATAGGTCCACTTTGGCTTAGGCATGCTTAAAGCTTCATACGCAACGCTGCAAAACTTGTTGAATTCTTCAAGAGACATGTTGTATTTAGACTCCATGGACTTGTACAAAGAGGATAACAACTGATATTTTTCCAGGTTATCGTCCTTCTCTGTGTACTCCACTTGAATGAATAGCAAAGGACTTAGAAAGACTAGCAAGGAGAAGCCAAAGGTTCGAAGAAGTACTTTCTTCAAAAGTGAGTTCATGTTGAAGATGATCGGTGTAAGCTGGATTACTGGATTACAGCGTTAATCTCTGGACACGACAATCAGCAGCTTGAGCTCGGTAGAAGTCAAATCCTAAAAATTAGGTTGGGGTTTCTGAGTTCTTACTTGCAAATCTTAGAACTGATTTCAAGCATCATCAAGTTGACATAGACCTTACATTCACTGCCGTTTGCGCTTCCTCCCTGAGGAGAACGTGGGAACTTATTCCATCATCTCTCCTATTAGGAAAGGAAATCATTCTGCTTGTGTGAGTTTTCCCATGTAGTAATTACAACCGGCCGGCAAAAAGCACCCTAGCCTGATTGATTATGGTAAAAATATAAAATATAATCAAAATATAAATGAGCTTCCTCTATTATCATCGACTCCTTCGCTCTAGATTGTTTTTATTGTTGTCCAGAACCCTTTTTTGTTTGTCTGCATACGAACTGAGAATTACAATTTGCTAAAACTATAGAATACACCAGTTAACGATATCGCCGAGGTTTTCGTCCTTTCAGCTATCTAAAAGACGAGCTACGGTGGTTTAATACAATAAGTAAAATCGGATAAGGTTTCTCTTCACAAGGGCATTACTCTATACACCAACATTATTAGGTAATCTTTCTGTTTACACTTTCACATTTATTATCACTTACTCTGAGAGTTATCAAGGTCTCGTATGAGATTCATTCAGTACGAAGCTGTTCACAGGCTTTTTTTCGACGTTCCCTGGCAAGGCGATATCAAAATAGTATTGAATGACATGTCTTGCGTATTACTGTAAGCTTGTGAACGTAAAATGATGATGCAGCTGGCGTACGTTAGATAAGCTATGCGAGAATTGACCGAACAATGAACTTCTTTAAATGAACTTTCATGAATTTTGAAAATTGATTAACACAGAAATTAATTTTTACATCCTTTTATTTATGTTGTGGCTGAAATTTTTTTAAACCAGTCGAATTTTTATTTTCTTTGGCCTGTTCATTATCATAATCTGAAACAATAATCTCCCATAAAAATTGATTTTTTCTCTTTCTTTGGATTATGATTGTTATAATGAATGCAGGTCAAGAGACATTCAAATGTTTTAAAAAAATTCAAATCAATAAAAAACTATGAAGCCCAACATTAAGTTTCATTTGGGAACTTATTTAAAGAAAGGTATTTTCTCCCTTTCTTTCTCTAAGGCTATGAATGGAAAAACGAATATATTACCTCCAGCTCAACCAGCTGTTAATTGACTTTTTCAACCAAAAACACCTCGACAGCAGTTTCAAGAAAACCTCAACTGATATTTCTGAACAGTGGTTAAAAGCGATATGAACACAACTTTTTTCGTTCTCGTCTCTGTCAAGTCATGTTCACGTTCTTAGTAATTACACTTGTCAGGACAGAATTGTCAATTATTTATATAAGTATGGAAGACTTGTCAATCCCTCATGTGAGGATAAACTGGCAGGTGTAAGAATTTCACAATTGAACTTATTCCTCTCCATTGTCATCATGGATCTGTGTGTTGTTTCACTGTCAATTTTTTTAAGGTATTGTTTTAATTCAAAGGTGTCAAGTTGTCCTCATTTCACATCCTGTCCTTGACAAGTCTTCATTATCAACATTTTATTTGAGTTGGTTCTAGGCAAGAGGAACTTTCAATGTTGTCATATTTTCCCATCTGTACTGCAAGGGAAATATTGCCGCGGGACAACAAACGTCAAGGAGACTCCTTCAACAAGTAAACATGGTACTTTTATTTTAAGTAGCCCTCAGGGTCCTTTTCTTTTAGAAGCGCTTTGTTTAATTTTCAAATTTATTCAAAGCTGAGAAAAAAAAATGTGCGTAACCAAATAATCATAGCTGCATCGTCACCACGAACGACTAAAGAAAGAGAGAGTTCTCTTAGTTTCCTCGTTGATAAAGAAAGAAAAAGCCGAATGAATAACTTTACTCTTATTTCAGTCTGGTTCCTTCGACATAATGTCATTAGCAGGTAAAACTGGTTAGAGAATCACTGCCATCATGATCTGGAGAAAGTTCTTCTTTTTGAGAAATTTTAAAGGAAAATAAGGTTTTTCTAAACTCCGCCAGGGCTTTAATGTGCAACTTTGATGTCAAGCAGATTTCATTGCTGATAAACAGTCAGTTACAGTTCAGTTAAGTAGCACATGTTTTCAGTGCCATTTTCTTGCCTTTTTGGGGTGCAGTTAGTCTCCACATTGTTCACTTCATCCCGGGTTTTTCTAGAGGCACACATGGGACAGGCACGATGGAACTTCAATTCCTCCATAGCCGCCATGACGGAATTGATTACGCTTGAAACAACACAGAAGCCAATCATTGCATAAATAGTCATGAGCATACGGAGAAAACCTTTTCTGGTGCGTTGTTCCGAGTGGAACTTTCGTTTCTCTGGAACGTAATCACCAAAACCGATTGTGGTCAGCGTAACGAACCAGAAATACACACTTTCAACAAAAGTCCAACCTTGTGTACTCATAACTAACCGGCCGTTTGCCACAATAAATATCACCATCAGGAAAAAGAGGATCACAGCGCTCTTTGTTTCTACTTTTTCCGGATGCGCTCTTTTGAAAAGTTTGCTTTCAAACTTTGTTACAAGCGCGTTGACAAGTTTGGCCATTAAATCGCCAACAGACTTCAACGCGAGTAATGTAATGGGAATCCCAAGAAGACAAATAAAAATGCATAATATCTGACCAGCAGGTGTTTGAGGAGTGACGTATCCATAGCCTGCAAATAACAAAATGCAAAGTTATTATCTGCACTGTACCTTATCTGATGAAATTAAGCAATCATGGGTTAAAAATCATGAGCTTCAGTAATCAGTTAGCCACTTGCTACTGATTTAACTTGTTCTTTATTATCGGGGTAATTATCCTATACAAAACATAAGGGTGATTGATATAATTTTTTTAATTTTTCAATTCCCTGACACGACACCTGTTTGATTCGTAGCCGTAATTTTTCGAGCTACTTCTCCTTGGTATTTTTGTCATGAATAATTTGGCCAATAGTACTAAGATTGTAAGAAACTTTTTCATGGTGCACAACTCGTCACCGAGTCAATAATATATTCTAACTGGAGAAGTGATTCCATTTCTTCATCCTGTGCATCAATTATCATCCATGCAGACACAAACCCTTCGATTGACAAAGTTACTTTAGCTCATGATGGTCTGATTCTTTTTACGAATGAAATCGCCATTTTTCCTTGTTCTTACACAAGTTTGCTGAGTCTCATTTCGAGAAGATATTCCTTACCTACGGTAGTGAAAGCTTGTAAGACGAATTCCAAGGAAACAAAATACGTCCACCGTGGTTTAGGTTGGCTCAGAGCTTCATGCGCAATGCTGGAAAAATTATTAAATTCCTTGATGGTCATATTGAATTTAGATGCCATGGAAATGTACAGGGACTTTAACAAGTGGTCTTTTTCTCTTTTGTCATCTTTTTCCGTATATTCCACAAAAGAAAACAACCAAGCACTCAAAGAGGCCCATAATATGAATCCAAAGGTGCGAATAAGCGCAGTCTTCCACAGGTAATCCATAGCGGACACTTTAGTTCAAACATACACCTGCATCAAAAGGAAAAGGAACTATTTTCAAAACATTTGAAAGTTTTTTTTCTTGAAAAAATGTTCGATATAAGATGACACCGATACCTAAGAATAAATGAATAAATATGGTATTCATCAGCCGTATTGAGAAAAACTGTGCCCGATACCGCCCGAGTCCGAAGGCTTTTTCCTAAAACATAACGAAATGCTTGCCAAAAGAACCCGAATGATTAAGGGCTGTAAACATGGCAAGATCCTCCAGAAAGATGAGAGGATTAATGAGTTTTTTTTTATCGGCCTGAAGTCGTGTTCGAGGTCTTTGCTTAAAAATACTGCCCAGCCCGCAAAATAACATATATTAATGAAAAATGGCAACGAAACTAGGGATGTACTCGGCGACTCACGAAAGCGTTACCGTGCCCGCAAGCAGAGATAAAGTTTAAGCAAATATTTAGTCCCTACAAAGGGTGAGCCTTTGCAACCAGGCCAGATGGACAGAAAAATACTTTATATCTGACATACTGTTGACAGAATGTTTGACACTCGATAGTACTTTAAAATTATGATGGAAACGTCAGTTTTTAATGGAAAGGATGCAACTGATAGCTTAGAATAACAGGAGTCAGTTCAAAACAGACAACGGATTTAGCCTTAAAGATGATGAATTTTTGGCCCAAAAGGCACTGATAAACTTCTTAGAGGAGTTAGTGTTCGACATATAAGAAACCACTGATATCATAGGATGAATTTGGTCGGTCAAAAATGCGTAGATTTTCATGAAACAAATAGGTGCATTTAGAAACCCACACCAGCCTAGATCCACTAGTTCATCCACCAGCATCTTATGAACCAAGCAATAATTTCACAAAATACACAAAAAATTACTACCGTTTTGGCGCAAATGGAGTTCCACTACGCCTGCTTGGTGCTGTTAAAATCTTAGGAGCTGAACGGATCGGAAACTTTCGAAGATAAGACAGGAAGTTGGAAAGGGCTCTCATCATACATCTTCTTTTTGGTAATCTACTAACAATCGTTGTATAATTCAAGTTCACTTTCGAAGCTGATCTATGCCGGAACAGTAGAGATAAATCAACGACACTGAGAGTAGTCAGCTTAAAAAAAAGACATAATTTGACGTCTTAATGGCTTTACTACTTGTCTTAAAAAGCTGTACAGTTTATAACTGTTTGTCCATAATTCTGTCTGTTAAAGGTTTCTTGGAGGTGACGACGGCACTCAATTAAAATGGGAGCGGATATTTTTATGGCGAACGCCAATAAATCTCATTATGGAAAAGCAGTATGGAAATTAACTGCCCCGCAGTGAAATCAAACAAGGATTGTATGATATTTTATGAACCTTAGTTTGTTGTGTTTGCCTGGTTAAAACAAAAATTAATTCATTATGGCAGGTGCTCCACTCTTATGATCACCTTATTGTGTTTCTCTAACTGTCTAGCTTTAAAATCTATCACTTAACTTTTTCTCCTTGTTTTTATCTCCCCTGTATTCGAAGCAAATGAAACTTACTAACTATGTTGCCGCATGAATATGTTGGAATCGAGGGTACCTTTTACACACATCATCTTCTTAGATACACCGTGAACGTGTTGTTAAAATGACCCCAAATTCAACGTTATTCTCGTTTACTCGATGAATACTAACCAGATATGCTGAAACACTGGCTCTTAAATATTCCGTCGGCGATGCATGATCTTGTCACAGCAACTGAAAGAAATATAGTCCTATCAAACGTCAAAACATCTTTTCACTAAGCAATTTACTTCAATAAATGTTTACCTCCATTTGATCTTAATGAGTCAGTGTCTCTGCGTTTCAAATTGAAAGAACTGGAATTTTGTTTTCCCGTTCAATATGTATTTGCTCTAAGGCTACTGATTGCCATGGCACTCTTTAAGCTTGGAAAACATTTCTGGTGTCATCTAATTCTTAGATTTATAATTGAAGGCCTCTCGTTAGTGTTGAGCGCCAATCCGCTGCTTTTCAATAAAATAACCTTAATTCGTATTGTGTTAGAAACAACTATCCTATTTTTATTTCTTTTTCTTTTTTTTAAATATATCTATTATTCATCTTCGGATAACCTTTAACAACGGCTGCAAACACAACGAATGTATTCATTTAATGCATTGGCAATTGAACCATTATGTTCACGTCCCTTAGAAGCGCTCTTACGATCTGAATTAGATTGGCAACTAATGGAGGTGTATAAAAAGATTAAATATTGTTGCTTAGACCTAAAACATATTATTTGACATGATTAATGCATAAAATGGAATTTTTTGACACGGCCAAATTATTTGCATTGGTGTTATTTTTAATTACTTACTTAAAGGTACAAAGCCCAGTAAAAATTTCATTTCTGGCCAAGTTGCACAAGTATAAAAGTACACTCAGATATTGAAAAGCGAATATAATTTCCAAGTATGGGAATACTTAAGGATTAAAAATGTCGAGAGATTATACACTCGATTGCAACAACGTTGATACCTAAAGAGTTTGATCCCTGAACAATCTGACCCAACAGCCTTATGGGAAATGCTCGCATAGTTTCATAATCAATGTGCTTTACCTATCCATTTTTCATGGACAATCTTTTTTTATGGTAATTCTTTTCTTTCAAGAAAGTGTGGGTAGCTTCTATTATTTACGACGCGCAACTTATTGTGGTTATCATTTACATGTGTACCCATAAGGCCGTTGGGCCTCATCATTCATAACCAATGTTTTCTAGATGTAAACGTTTTTCAATCGAATGTACATGCCAGCACTGGCTAATAAATCGTTGATAACAAAAGCAATGGGCCATAGACAACGTTATAAATCATGAATATGCAGACAATGTATGGTAACGTTTCAAGTTAAATCATTGGAGCCTTTCGGAGAGTCCGTCTTCGTTTATCATTTACATTAGTTATTTTTTGTTTTCTTGCTCGTATGAATGTAAACTTTTTTTAAAGTGCAGCTGTTTAAGCTCTCTGATTTCTTTAAGTGTCGGTAACGCCTTTCCTTAACGTCCCTCTTATATGTTGGGCTAAAATGAGTGCAATTAAATTTTAAAATGAAAGGATGGATACAAAGTTTATCCAGTGTTTTTTTCCTTTTCTTTTAACTTTAAATTTAATTTTATGCCAATGAATTACATCGACGTTTCAAGCTACTACTTTCCCATATGGATGGCGCTGCTGGATAAAATTTATCTGAGTACGGAGGGTAGTGGCACGGCTAGTATCAATTTAAATTTGGTAAACTTAATTTTCGAAATTAAACCATTCTTGTAAAACACAATTCGGTCATGAATTAGTACCGAAGGAAGTTTTGTGAGAGATTTCTTGATATTTTTTTTCATTGTTCGAGTTTTACAATTGGTAAGAAAGGTTTAATTTTGATTGGACTTCACAGAGAAAACACCACACACCATACACACTTCAATCACACATCGATAAAAACAGTTACGTCATCGTTAGTGAGCTCGAAGCCGATAAAGATTCCGGTGTCCGAAAAAGAGCCGATAGTGCGGGGTCGATCTACAATTAAATTAAAGAACATAGAGACTCCTATCAGTTTTCTGTGTTCTCAAGATTCTCCAAACCCAGATTTTCTATTCTTTTAGAAGTCATGTTCTCGTCATCAGGTTCTTTTACTGTGTCAACGCGCCCCTGTATCCTTCTAGATATACGTGCAGAACACTTAAACCACCAATTTCGTTCATCCAAGGCCGCCATGATGGAGTTAAATACACTGGAAACAATGCATAGTCCTCCCAAAAGAAGAACCAGTTCAAAAAGGCCTATAAAGATTGCGAAGCTGTTTCCTCTCGAGATATTGGTCGGATTGAGCTTCCCTGGAATGTAGTCACCAAAACCCATTGTTGTTACGGTTACAAACCAAAAATAAAGTGCCTCTACGAATGTCCAATCCTCTAGATGTATCAATACGAGAGCATTCATCACAATATCTAACACCATAAATAAAAACAAGATCATTGCACTTTTTTTTTCTACATTCATCGGTTCCTCTCTTTTAAGGATTTTACTCTCGAACTTCTTCACAAGTGTGTTGACCAGTTTGGCAATGACCGCACCAACCGAGTTTAGCAAAAGAAGAGTAATTGGAATGCCAAGTAGACAAAGGAAGATACATAGCATTTGGCCTTCAGGTGTCTTGGGAGTTATATTTCCATAGCCTGTGAAACAGAGACCAGAAACGGAATCAACATGGAAGCTTGATGGGATGGTCGAACGTTTCCGCTTTTACAAGCCTTAACAATTTCGATCATAACTTTCCGCGATATGGTGCACCACGAGAAATTTCAGAGTCAAACAAAATACAAAGCAATGGCATTTAAGAAATACAAAAGGCGAACCTTGGTTGATTATTTTAAAGCATGAATACTTATGATGCAGTTACGTTATTGGATCTTCTGACTTATTCCGACTCTAGTGCTGTAGATTCTAGTTACTTATCAGATACATTTTGTAAAAAGGACATTTTGCAATAGTTTAGACACATCACATATTTTATCTTACCCACAGTAGTTGTGGCCTGAACTACAAAGATCAGAGACGCTAAAAACGTCCATTTGGGGCTAGGTTTGCTCAACGCCTCAAACGCAGTGCTGGAAAAGTTTTTGAAGTCTTCCTCGGTCATGTTGTACTTAAATGCCATTGCTTTGAACAGAGAAAGTAACAACTGATCTTTCTCTTTCGCCTCATCTTTTTCAGTGTGTTCAACCGTAACAAACAGCCAGGCACTAAGTGAAGTCCACACAAAGAAAGCAACGGTGCGAAAGATCATTGTTTTGAAAAGAGGATCCATGGCTGAGAACTACACCTGCAAAACATTTTACCAGGAATATCAGTACAAACCTCTATGTCAACAAGACTCCATGAGGTGCATTATCACATCAATACTGCAAAACCAGAGATAAAATTATTTATGTGCGGCTTATAGATGGTCGATGATTAATCATTAGGTATTTGCAAATGAAAGCACCTTTTCCATCTAATTACTTCAGGTCGGAAACAGTAGGTGCTCAATCCACATGGTAATTTTAGGGTGATAAAGTAATCGTTTCATCGTTCTAATTCTGTAGAGTCCACAGTAACACTCGCAGTCTTTTTTAAACGTCTGTAGATAGCTTTGTAGTTGGAAGACTGATCTTTGCCGGCATCTTTGCGTACTCAGTTAGACAGCTAAATTAAATTGTTGACACTTCTTGATGAAACTTCTTCATCTACCTCTGACTTAATAAATAGCCTCTTTCTCCTCTCTTTTACAGTTAACATAATCAAATGCTATGGCTTTGTCAATCTGCTTAATTTTGCATAGAATATTTTGATTTCAAGGTACTTTGTTGTGGGAGAAATTACAAGAATATAAATGTGCCTTTTTTTACGAGGACTTACGAGAAGTCCAAGTGAAGTGACAATCAAATCATACCTTTTTGGTTTTTTTGGTATTGGTGAAAAACATCTGGCTTTATTCAAATACGATATACTCGATTTGCATTTAGGCTTAAATAATTAGTCTGCCTTCTTAAAAGAAAATAACTCCTATTAAAACGAAGAAATGATTTTGAATGCTGTAAATTCTTCTTTCTATAGTTGTTTACTATGACTGTAATGGAGTCTATGCAGCGCTTGAACGGTTTGATAACGCGAAGGCAAAATTCTTACTGACCGCATTTACTCAAATACAGACTTACCTGAATGTTGTATCAACGCTTTCACATCAGTTTTGCTATTCAAGAGAATTTTTTAGCACCTTATGTTAGTTATAACCGCTGTTTTGGTTACGTGTCTGTTGAAGTAAACGTTTGGTAGCTATACTCAGGGTCTTTCCTTGTAAAGATTTGTTATAATTATATTTCATGGCTTTTTGCATGAATTTCATGCTGTCTCGTGGCAACTGTTTTTACCTTTCATTAAGGATTCAAAAGGCCTACGGGAGATGGCATTCATCTTTACCAAATATTTACAAATCCCCATTCTATGAATATACATTAGCTCTAGATATTTGATGTGGCTTTTTTCAATAGTTTAGCTTGGCCGTCGATAAATGCCTGGACATCTTCACTTCTGCATTCTAAGACGTTACCTTGAGAAAGATAAACGCCAAATTTTAGTATTCATAGGAAAACTTGTATGAAGTGCAATTGGCACAGTTTCCATTTTATTTCGCAGCGATTGAAGCAAATTGATGCGCAGTTCATTTAAAGGTGTGAGGTAGTAGCTCTCAGTCTGGGATCTATTAGAGTGAAAAAATATATTCTCTATTTGCATTCCATCGAAACAAAAATTATTACGCCCAGCAAGATAGGTTACATTCAGGCCGATAACACTACAGGCAGCCCAAGATGATCATCTCATAGCTGGAGCTTAGACTTCCTGTGGTTACACATCATATATTAGCCAGACGAAGTCACTAAAAAGAGGTTCCATGCCCTACCGGTTTATCACCATGACATCGATCTTCACACCATGGCTTGATTTCAGTTTAATGGTGACATATTTTCATTAGCAAATAACATGGATTTCAAACTAATTATTCATTAAATTTTTCACTGCCTTTCTCACTTTTCACCTGACGCAGACGTTCTCGTCAACATCCCAACGCCACTTTAGTTCTCCCTTGATCACCATTATAGAGTAGGCATTGATTTTTATTGATCAGAAGGAAGACAGTGAAGAATGACATGGGTTAGTGCATTAAGCGTTGCTCGGCACAAACATGAAAACCTCGGACTGTTCTGATATCTCGAGGTGTGCGTGCATTGACTTTTAATCGCCCAGCGCTCTAGTGGCAAATACTATGAAACCGAAATACATTCCACTCGAGAAATCCATTTTGAGAAAAAAAAATTTTTAATTCTATCTGTGCGCAAATTATTAGTTTAGGATGTGTCTTGTCGTCCTAAACCCAGTTCTAATGCTAAATGTCAGCTAATTCCACTGGGATGTTTGCATCCCTCATATTGAAATTAACTTGCTTTTCGTCAGAATATTCCACATTAAAATCGCGTTCATCAGGAATACTTGTCTGCCTTTCTTCTTCGTCGGGGTCTTTTGGATCTGTTTTCTTTTTCTTTCGTGGAATACAACAAGGGCATGTGGTATGGAATCTTCGCTCTTCCATTAGCGCCGCAATTGCGTTTAGCACACTTGACACAATGCACAACGCCACAATATAATAAAACGCTTTGAGTAGATCTTTGAATATTGAGAAAGTGGTCTGCCTCTGCAGTGCGTCAGATGACTTATTATTGTGAGTTTTAGACCTATTCAAAGATAACTTTTTGATCCTTGTGGGTTTCCAGAGAATGTAGTCACCAAACCCGATTGTAGTAAATGTTACAAACCAGAAGTAGACGCCTTCAACGAAAGACCAGTTTGAATCCCTAATGCATAAGGCACTCACCACTATCAAAAGCACCATAAATGAGAACAAGATCACTGCGCTCTTCGTTTGCATCTGTTTTGGTTCTGGTCTTTTAAGTATTTCCTTTTCAAACTTCCAGACGATTGTGTGGACCCATTTGGCAATGAGTTCGCCGATGGATTTCAATGCGAGCAAAGTAATGGGGACCCCGAGTAAGCATACAAAGATACACAACATCTGCCCCGTGGATGTCTGAGGAGTGATGAATCCATATCCTGTAAAACACAGATATCAGCAAAGATTAAAAAAGGAACTTTCATAAGCCCAGTAGGATATGGCGTACTCCATGAGAATGTAAACTAAATATATTCTCTCGGTGTACTCCCTTTGGAAGGTATTCCACTCAATGAAGATGCTGAAATTCATTTTGTTCGGACTTTAGAAAAAAAAAGTCATCACAGTATTCTTTTTCTCGATTCTTCGTTATTTACACTTATTTTAGGGAGAGTTCTGAGAATTGAAGAAAGTTACCCGAACTAAAGGAAAGCATTTATTGCAAATAAAAGGCGACCACCGAGTAGCTCGGAGAGAGAAAACTCCGTGAGTCACTAACTCGAGGGTGTCATTGGGGTAATGGCTTTGACGGCTAACGGTTAAAATTTGGCCAGTTTACGGCTAACGGTTAATGTCTTTCCATTGCGGTCACCAGAATTTGTTTTAATGTCTGCGAGGAAAGTTCGCGAGAATGGATAGGATTCCTCCTTTTTCTCCTTCGTTGCGTATTTCGATTCTTTCCCATCTCTCTTGCGATTCTTAGGATTAATAACTGGAAACTAAGAAGACTCATTTATAGTGGAGCTCGCAGAGCGTAGCCCCATATTTATACAAAATAGTAGTAACCCATCAAGCTAAAAAAATCTGGATGTACGACCGTACGACCGTACGACCGACCGTACAAGGTGCTACTTTTTGCATGCGCGGCCAACTGTACCACGGGCACTATTTTATAATCAGTCCTCCACACGGACACGGAGAAGTTGCGAATGAAAACCATTGATATTACCACGCACTTTATCCATAGTAGGAGCCTTAGTTTTGTTGAAGAGACGTGCGGGAAAAAAATATGAGCTCCGCTTTTTGGCTTGCCTAAATTTATATATTACATAACTTTATGTCACTGTTATTTTTCGTGTTCTTAAAAACTAGTAATATCGTATTTTACCGTACCTATGGTGGTCACAGCTTGAATCACGAACGTAACTGCAACGTGGTAGGTCCACTGAGGTTTAGGCTCGCTTAATGCTTCATATGCAACTGTAGAAATCTTATTGAACTCCTCGAGGCTCATGTTGTATTTTGATGCCAAAGATTCGAACAGCGAGAGTAACAAGTGATATTTTTCTTCCTTATTATCTTTTTCCGTGTGTTCTACTTTCACAAACAACCATGCACTAAATAAAGTCCATAACAAGAGGCCGAGCGTTCGAAGAAACGCAGTTTTTAACGGCGTGCTCATCGTCAATTCTTTATCTCTATATGAATACCTTTTCCTGTAAGAATAAAGAAAAAGAGTGTACCATGCAATGTTTTGGTACCATGTTGATGCCGATGAAACTCAGCTGTCATCTCACGACTTCAGAATAATATGTCGTAGGAGGGAAACTGGATACCTTGGAGTCTTCGAAGACAGTTAGATTCAAGGAGTCAAAATTGATCGTGCTGGCACCTGCTGATTCACATCGTTATTATCAGGATAATACCACCTAAATTACGAATTTCGAAATAGTTAATCGAACATGACTTGCTATATAAGGTTCAGTGGTTGCAAGTTTGTATTAAACCTAACAATGCTTATTACGGAAATTTTGTCAATGCTTGTCGCATCTAGAGGTTGAAATACAAAACAAAAGAAGAAAAACAAAGGAAGAACACAGGCCGCTCTGTCAAATTTTAAATGAAGCAAGCGGCGTTTTCTAAAAAATTTGAATATCTATGGATTAGCTCTTTTTAATTCAAACTAATTTTGAGAATTTTATATTTGCAATAGACCCTATATCGTAGTTTAGCCCGTGTTAAGCTTTTGAGCTTCATTTATCGTTCCGTTTTCATTTCTTCGGCAATTTGAAACATTTTTCCCAGAATGTAGACGATGAAGACAGCAATGTAACGTTTTACGGGCTTTGAGCTCAGTAATAAATTGAAAAAAAAATTCAATGATTCAGCCAAAGTTTTATGATAGACTAAGTAATTAATACCTTCTCCTTGCATTTGCTTTACATCTACAATCAGTTTTTCCTCGGAAAGAGATGTTAAGGAAGCAATTCCATTCTGCACGATTGCGTGGTATTCATTCGCTCCTCACCATTTGAAGATTTATCCAACAAACTTTAATACTCAAAGGAACAAAACGCATATATTTATTTAGCTGAGAACGTCATAGTCGAGTATTACTAATGCAAATTTTCCTCGATGAAATTGGAGGCCTTGACAGATTATCACCCCAAAACACCAATATGAAAAGACTACTGAAATAATCTTGTGCAAGGCTACACTTCACTCTGTGGGAAAACACTTGACAAGAGATCTTATATGCTAATAGGGCGGCAATTTCATCTAAATGACTTTGTTTACTTCAAAGACTTATGATAATATATTGAGGAGATTTTTAGACAAAATAGTCGCAATCAAGACGTTTTTACATCTCTCTTTCTGTAAGCTTTTTTCAACATAAAACTGTTGTTTTGGGAATGATAATGATGCTTTTAGGGAAAGGTGTTTAGAATTCACAAATAATTTTTCGTCATTATAAATAAATTTAATTTGTAGATTGATGTCTGTAGTCCGTCTCGCTTCAAAGTGTACCGCTGGCATTTAAGCAGCCGGAGAGAATCTGCGACGAAATGGACTTGAAATTACGCCTGAGGTTTCAATTTCCTTTAACGTTAAGTCGGCGGATTTTAAACACTGCGAGAGAGTGCGTCTGTTTTGTTTTTTAACTTTGACACTTTGTGTCTGGTCAGTTCTATTTAGAATTTAATTTAATTAATGAACGTACAAAAAATAGCACACTTTGCTTGCAAGGTCAACTGCATAAATGGCAATTTCTATTTCACTCAGGTTGGTCGGGGTCGATTGTAGAGGTGACATTACTGTCACCTTCCTGACTCGTTTTGATGCCAAAGAGACCTCGTAATGTATTTGCATAATTGAAAATCAACTGCTGGTAAATGTCGAAGTGACTTCAACCCAGCTTTGCATCTGTCGATGGTGATTTGCTGTCATCAGCTGAGATGAATAGCAGTGCTGATGCCTCTTCCTATCCAGTGAAACACTCGTTAAAATTAGTTTGTTCTTATGATGTGTATCAATTTGATTTACGACTACTGACTTCTAGGGGAGTTAGCTGGTTAGTCAGTTGACCTATGAGCGAGTTAGCATATGTGTTAGTACACTGCAGGCCAGTTATGCGAGCAAGTTGACCCATATGAGAATTCGACCATGAGCAACTTTACTTTTGGGTGAGTCAACCCATTACACTAGTGATTCGAGTTGTGGGCGGGTTGACCTGTTGTTGAATCGAGGTGTGGGCGAGTTGACCTGTTGCGAATTAGTTTGTGAGTAAGTGAACTCTTGCGCTGGTGAAAAATAGTTACTTCAGTTCATTTACTCAGCCACTGATGTCATGTTATCTTTGTGAAATCCATAGTTATTCATGCTCAAGTAAGTCGCGTTGGCTTCGCCTTCCGTTGGAGTGTAATCGTCAATGTTCCCTTGATGCTGCGTTTTTCGAGGGACACATCCGGGACACGGAGGTCGACACTTATATTCTTCGAGGGCCATCATAATGGAATTAAGAACACTCGAGACGACGCACAAGCCCAAAATTAAATAAAATGTGAGAAACAGGCCTTCAAAAATAGCAAAAGTGGTTCTTTCTCCGTCGCTTGGTTTATTGTCGTTGTCTTCGTGTGTAAAGTTATTTGGAGTTAATTGCCTGATCCTTTGTGGAATTTCTGGCACGTAGTCACCAAATCCGATTGTAGAAAATGTTATGAACCAGAAATACGCACTCGTGACAAAAGACCAATTTAAAAAATATACTAGCAACAGGCTGCTTAACACTATCAACAATAACATCATCATAAACAGAATTAGAGCACTTTTTGCTTGCAACTTTTTGGGCTCAGGCCTCTTTAAGATTTTCCTCTCAAACTTTGTAACAAATGTGGCCACACCTTTGGCGATGAGTTCACCGACGGACTTAAATGCGAGCAAAGTGATGGGAATCCCCAGTAACGAGACGAAGATGCAAAGCAATTGACCTGTCTGTGTCTGGGGAGTGATGTATCCATAGCCTATATGAAACGGAAAAAAAGGAACAAATAGATCGGTGAAAAGATATTAAACGAATGGTTTGTACGCTTGACTTCAGACCATATGTCAATGATTATTGTGCTGTGTTATTCTATAGTAACTCGTTCCTCCGGAGTATAAAACAGGAGAACTTGACCAATTACTAAGGGTACTGAAAGTTGTCTGCGATGGATTAACATCCCACCCATGAGTAGAAGCAGCACTCTCAGCGCCTTTAAAGCAGTTGTCAACTGAAATTTTGCTCATTATGCTCTGTGATTGGTCTAGAAAACTCGCATCAACCACTTGATGGTCAGTTGCAAAAATAAACCCAATCGCGACTTGGTCACATGCGTTTCCCCGCGCTTCATGCAATTTGCTTGTTATAGCTTCGAGTTATCATCGTTATTTTTCCTTTTTTCTGATAAGCTGTCTAGTTTCACCCAATTGAAGTTTGCTTTGTGCCATGAGAAAATTAGGGCTAGGCTCACCCGACAGAGTGGAGTAGTGGGCCAGTAAGCGTGTGAGACTCAATTTACTTCGGGAAAAAATTGTAGGAAAACTTCATGTACCACCTTATAGAGGCGAATTCTACAACTTATTGTATACTTCTACAACTTATTGTATAGTGGGCCAGTAAGCGTGTGAGACTCAATTTACTTCGGGAAAAAATTGTAGGAAAACTTCATGTACCACCTTATAGAGGCGAATTCTACAACTTATTGTATACTTCGGCTTACCAATGGTGGTCAAAGACTGAAAAACAAAAGCCATTGCATTGGAGTATGTCCATTGTATCTTGGGCTGGCTCAAAGCCTCGTATGCGGAATTGGAGATGTTATTAAACTCCTCTATGCTCATGTTGTATTTAGACGCGAGAAACTCGTACAGAGAGAGCAACAACTGATATTTTTCTTCTTTTTCGTCTGCTTCCTTGTATTCGACCATAACAAACAACCAAGCACTGAGTGAGACCCAAAGTAAGAAGCCAAGAGTTCGAAGAAGCACTGCTTTTACTAGGAGGTTCATTGTAAGTCTTAACAACTGCAATAGCTGAAATGAAGAAGCATAAGTTTTGAGTACCATACAATATTTGATGAGCTGGAGTAAGTCCAGCCAAAATATTCAATTTAATTAAATGAGATTGAGTAATTAACCAGGTGTAAATTTGCAAAGTTTTACACCATTGTGACCCATTGTGGGTTTAGTGACTGTTTACGTTTTATTAAGGTTCAGTTGCCATTTCCGTTGCACATCCTTGTTTGAGTTACTTTTGACTTCTAAGTTTTTATTGCGGCTGAAAAATTACGACAGTTTTTTCATGGCATTTATAATTTTCCAGAGTGTTAATTAACTGTACTATGACTGACGTCCACTTCCAGACGCTCCTCGTTAAATTAACATTTTAGCGCACGCCAATGGAACCTGTCTCTTTCATTTTTTCCTTTTTTTCAAATATACTCAAATCGTTTTTAAGGGGATAAAATTTATACACCTTACATTTTTCCATTCAATTCAGAATGTGCCAAAATTATAGAGGCTTTAGATTAGGCTTTCACTTGTTTTCATTTGTGTCCTCGATCAAAACTTTCAATTAAATGATATTTGAGTGAAATCCGGAGAGCTTGGGAGCTGCAGGCAGGAAATAAGCTGAGTATTAATAGCTACATGTGCGTAAATCCATCGGAAGAGCTTTCTCATGGCTGTAATTTATTGAATACAGTTCACCGTTACCAGTGTTTGCATGGGATCGATTCGCAATGCAGGGGATATGTAGATTTATTGCCTTTGTAACTTAGTAGAATTAGAACGGATCGGATCAATAGGGAATTCCAAAATTATACTTATGTAGAATTGTTTCATGCATAAAAAGTTTTCTTAAGCTGCTTTCACCTAAACACCATGGCTGGAGAGATACCGGCAGTTATCGGTCGAAGCTTCCCAAATTGGTTGAAGTTCCTTCTGAAGCTCACTTTCATAAACAAAGCTACTGAATGTCACTTGCATTCATAATTTATCGACACTGATGGCTTTTTTAATCCAGAGCAGAATTCTGCGTTAGTTTTGAGTTTCAAAATCGAGTTATCTTGAAAATTTTGGGAAACAAAGTTGATAAGATACACTGCGTCTGAGAGATGCATAACGATCTTTGTCATATTTCAACCAGTGTGAACGCATTTCCACCCGATGAAGCTAGAAAGTTTATACTTCTTTCTTGACACTCACCTTTCCACAATTAAAAAACGTCGGAGTTTGTGCCCAAGTTAAACGCTTATAAGTCCCGTAACTGACTGATAAGATAGTGGCCTGCCATTAACAACGATAATAAAGGTTCATATAAGTTATGAGGTTGCCATCACATTATTATAGAAAAGTTTTCTCTAGGTTCAAAACGTGTGCAAATGACCTTGCACCAATGAACAGTAGGAAGAAACTTCACCTACAGTACGATGCACGAAAGAGATCTCGTTAGCAGAATTGCACAACAATGTCAAAACATTACCTTTAGGTTATTTCAGCCCTGCAGCTACTGTAATTTTGCATTTCAAAGGTAGCGTACATGTCAACAAAAACTACATGTTTTAGCAATTAGGTGGAAAACATTTATCTGCTCGCAGCTGCAATGTCCTTGAAAATTCAAGGATTGACTACTGATTTATGCTGGCAGAAGATCCTAGATCCAACAAGGAATATTTGAAATGTTTATGTTTGGCCATCGGTGAGATAAGTTGGACTCATGATTCGAAAATGAAGGATTATCGCGAGTAAATGTTTGCGCCAAATAAGTTAATGTTTTTGAAAACACTAGAAATTTTCATTAACAAACTTTAGAGGGGGCAACAGAATTTAATGTACTAATTTATGATATGTCTCGTCTGCACAGAAGAATCGAGAAAGCCTGATACATATTTTATTTCTTTCAAAATCGTCCAAGATTATGTAACAACTTGATTGCTGAAGAACGCTAATAGTTGCTGTGATCAGGCTCATCAAAGACGTAATAGCTGTAATTTTTAAAGTGGCGGGATTTTTAAGGAACTAAAGAACCATGCTTAACCATAGCGTAATTAACTTTGAATCATTTATTTTTAAATAAAAAAAGCCATTTCTGCTTTGAACCGCTTCAAGCAATGGAGATTTTTTCCAATCCAAAGCAAGCCTATAACGGATCTTATTGCGGCTGCTTTTTTAAGGAAAAAAGTTGTACTCTCCTTGCACTTATGTATGTTTATTTTCATCTTTAGGACATTTCCTCATCTAGTACAATACTTAACAATTGGTGTCTTGCTCGACAGAACTAATGATGTGATACCATAGATAATCTCTACACTCTAAGTAGTTGTAAGTAGTAACACAGGCCTATTTTAGCTGGGAGTAGGAAAACGTGTGTGCTCGGCACTCATGTTTCAAACTTACACCAAACGTTCTAAATACGCATTTTACGGAGCAATATGCTCCAGAACTGTTTATATCTGCTATTAGAAGGTTTACCACCTAAAGCAGCTAAACAAGTCTTCATTTATTACCATAAGATTAGTTTGGTAGTTTAATTTGTAAATTAGGCAATGGTTGTGTAGGGGTTGGTACACAAATTGTTACTTCAATTCAAACTTTGCCGAAAACGGCATGACTACTATACATAAAACTTGAATACTTAGACTTCTCCTTTAGATTATGCGTCAGTTAAGTTCGGTTTCCGAGAAACATACGAAGTTAGTTTTCTTTTGAAAATCATGAGTTCCAAAGGATGAAAACACCGTGTTATTTTCACGCCTCTCAGTAGATTCGCTTTGTTCCTTCTCTGCGTGGTCCTGGGTCTTTGGAGAGATACATCCGGAACACGGAGGGTGGCATCTCCGTTTTTCCATGACAGCCATGATAGAATTGATTACACTGGAGACGATGCATAACGCTAATAAAGCAGGGAACAAACCGACAAGAACGGTAATAATTTTACTTGTGCTTCTCCTACTGTCTTCATTTACAGAGATGTTCAGAGAGAGCTGTGTAAACTTTCGGGGCTCCCGTAAAACGTAGTCTCCAAATCCGATTGTGGTAAATGTCACAAACCAGAAATAAACACTTTCAACGATAGACCAATTGCGGAGAGGCATCGATAAAAAACCGGCTGTAAGAATCGAAATTACCATGATCGAGAACAGGACCATCGCAGTCTTGATCTGCATATGCTTTGGTTGCAGCGTCTTGAGGAACTTCTTTTCAAACTTTGTGATGATTGTGTTCACCCATTTAGCAATGAGCTCGCCCATGGATTTTAACATGAGCAAAGTAATGGGAATTCCAAGTAAAGAGATGAAAATGCACATCACTTGGCCTGATGGTGTTTGCGGAGTGATGTTACCATAACCTGTAGAAAAAAGTGTAAAGATCTTATGCACATTGCTATCTTTTTACCATTATCTCTATAACTATTTTCATTTTCCGGAACCTTTTATATTGCATCCCAAGAGTTTGAATTTGGTCATTGTGGTACAGATGCTTGTTTATCAATTAAAGAAAGATCATTGTTATATGTTTGTTCGGCGCTTCAAATATATCATTTTAATTTTTCCTGTAGTTTCTTATTCTTTTGATCATAAACATAACGTCAGAATCGTTTTGCTATGTTTTCTTTTGGTGATAGTTTTTTCTTCTGCAATCTTTCGTTCAACAAACGCCCATGTATATTTTCTTATGAGCGGTGGTTTAAAAAAACTCGGTATTGAGCCATCACCGCTGATTCGAAAGGATTGTAATCAACAATCTAGTTTCTGTTTGTTTGTTTACTTTTTTAACGAAGCATTTATTTCTATAACACTGATCAAAGCTGAGAAAAATATTGCTGAAATAATTTCACGTTTTGAATCATTTCAGTTGAGATCGGTAGTCTACTGGGTGTACGGTATCACTTTCCTCACCGATCGTAGTCCAGGCGTGGAATATGAACCGTATTGCGTCCAGATAGATCCATTGCGGTTTAGGCTCGCTCAAGGCCTCGTGTGCTGTTCTCGAAATATTGTTGAACTCTTCAATGCTCATATTGTATTTAGACTCCAGCGACTCATAAAGCGATAACAATAACTTGTATTTTTCCTCTTTGTCATCCTTTTCCTTGTACTCAACTGCAACAAACAGCAGAGCACTAATCGAGCCGAGCAACCAGAAGACTAGACAACGAAGAAGTGCTGTTTTTAATAGCGGGTCAAAACTCATCTTTTTCACTTTCTTCACCTTCTTTGAGGCGATTGACTGTAGAAAGAAAGTAACAAACACATTATGAACTATGATTTGACTTTTTCGGCATGTGGTCCGGAATACAAATCATTTAGATCTCCTATTAAACTGGTGATTACCCAATCATTAGTTTGACCAAGTAGGCTGTCGATCATCTTGCGTTCAATCGCGTGTGGAGCTTAAATTTTTAAATTGGTCTCCAACCTCTTTAAAGCCTCCAAACAGTTTTAATCATCTTTTCAATTACTTACAAATAAGCTTTGGATTGTTTTAGTTTGAATTCGTGTTTACCCTCGTACAGTGAAAAGAAAGAGGAGTATTGAGCTGACTCCAGAAACTCTCTCGTTCTCACTGTTTGTAAATTCGGTCAAACTCATTCAGTTTCCATGCTATTGTTGTTACCTTTCAAAACCATCCTTGACTACCTAGGTATAGACTTAGCCACATACCTCGGTATAGTTAAACTACGGTCCATTTAAACTAAGTCATTAAATCGGTTGGCTCGGACTGCCTGCAAATATACATATATGTTTCGGGGCTCCGTTTGTATTGAATCATTGGGAATCTCAGCGGGCATCCAGTTTCTTGTGAGCATAATGAATAATGATTAGGTAAAAATTGCCTTTTGCGGGTCGTTGCTATCATTTTTTTGTGCGTCGATAACGTTTCTATTACCGGGTGTTTAGATGAATGAGATCACTAATTTAAAAATAGTTTACTTTAATGAAGAAAGGAGTGACAGTTAAGAGTCTAAAGAAACGAGAAAGAATATTTAAAATCGACAAGAATGACCAAAAAGTTGTGTATTGCATTGAATCATTTTCAATTTGTGAACAAAATCAATGTTTCCACTTCGAAACGACAGGGAAGGCCAAGGTACAAAACCAAGAGAATATCAACTGTTGAGATCTTGACAAAACTTAAGAGCCAATGTTAGCACTGATGTATCAGACAAACTGCGGCAATTCACTCAAAGTTCGATTTCACTCCTACTTTCATATTTTGTAGCCCAATATGTCCTAATAATTGTGTTGTAGTTTTT